TGTTGTATCGACGTCCTGGAAAGTATGACCGCGCCCAATGTTGGATCCCCATCTTCATAAGATACTCCAACGCTGGTAATGATTTACTTCCTATCTCGAGCATGAACTTATTACACTCTTCAGCACTGTAAGTTTCGATTGCTCTCCTGAACAATGAAACGATGCATGTACGTCGATACCTAGTCTTCAAATTACCTTGTATATGGTACATGCAATACCCGTGATGTGCCTCGGGAAAAACTTCAGCGATACCGTTTATTATAGACTGTCCTCGATTTGTTACAAAGGCAAGGTCTTCGACTTCCTCGATCACTTCCCTCAGTTTAGAAAACAACCAACGCATGGACAAATCATTCTCGCTGTCGACTATGTCGAATGCAATACGGTAAATTTGGATGTTGGTATCTTGACATGTAGCAATAATTAATTTGCCTTGATATTTAGCTTTCAGAGTTGTACCATCAACTAGAATTGCGGGTCGCATTGCATTTCAAAAACCCCGAATACATTGTCCGAGAGCCATAAAGAAATACTTAAAACAATTATCGCCCCCCGTCTCAATAAAAAATACCGTACCAGGATTAGTTGTCCCCATGTTATGGCAATACCTAGCCAATTTAGCATAGCTCTCTTCAACCGATCCCATTAAATCCTCCAACGCACATTCTTTGACCTTCCACGCTTTCTGGTAGCTCATGACCACTCCGTACTCTCGACGGACGTCGTTAACGATGTCCGAAGGTCTGTAGATCGTCCGTGAATCCTGATACTTGTGCATTATCTGTCGACCAATAAACCATGCTCGAGTTTGCCTGTGATCGTTTCGAAGAAATCCCACTTCGCAAGTATGTTCCCGTGAATACTTGCGAATTACGAAGCACTCATTCGTGTTCATCTTAGTTGCTCTCAAGCGCCAATTGCAACTGTCTTCGATGCAAGCAACTGTCAACAATGACTTGTTTAATTTCTTTACCTTGAACTCAAAGTTATATTTTAATATCAGTCGGTGCACAGCTTCCTGCAAATCTTTCTTGGTTTCAAACAGTTGCTCGACCTGCAAGTCCTCATCATCGGGAGCCACACGGGAAGAATTGGAGGACGGTCCACTTGTTCCAACCTGTGAGCTCCCACCCGGCTCGTGTCTCTGTCGGGATAAAGCAATCGAATTCTCATTTGTAAACTCGTTTATATTCTCATTGTCTTCAACTGTCTACGGAATTTTGCGCATAACAGTGACATTACGATCAGAAGCAACTGTCTCAGGAATACCCACATCATCCGTAGGAACTATCTCCACTGTCTCCCAAAAACCTCAATCATTGTTATCTGCCCTATCTGAATCTTCGCGTTCACCTTCGATAACATCCTTCGTAATTAAAGTCACACCAAGAATAGTCGGAGTCCGATGCATTTTATTCAATTCTAATAGATAATTCAATTCAGCATCATTAGTAACGAATACCGGTGGCATCGGAATGGATGAATCTCCATAACCGTTGAATAGATATCTCAATTGCATATCATATTGAGATTGATCGACATTCAGCTTATTTTGCAAATCGTGGTACATTTTTAAGTATGGTGTACTCTCTGTTATGGGAATTGCAATACAACCACGTATGTCACTCGTCCATCTCCATTCCTACCGATTATTTTCATTCAATTCGAAATCATCGAAATAACACACGGGGATTATCATATCTACATGAGGAAATGGTTTTAATCAACTTCATTTATTAATTATAAGAAAAAGGCCAACAAATATCAGTGCAGAGTCGGTTAATTGGCTGTTTAACAGCCGAACAGTCGGCTGTTTACAACCAAGTAGTCGGACTATTTTCAACTGTTTGGCTGTTTGTTAAGCCAAAACACCCAGTTTGGCTCTTTTTGCGCATGAGATTACGGTTCTAAAGTTATACATCTGTTCAATTTTTTTTGATAGATAAGATCTGTTAAAAAAAATCAATGCTAACTACTTTGTCGACATAAAATTTCTCTATTTAAACGTATACTAATTTATTGAAAACGAAATTAAACATGCGTAAATGTACTTACCGATTTGAAGTAATTGATATAAAAAAAATTTCCGGCTTCAACGTTCCAAAGTTTTTCTAGATTTTGAGGTTCAAGCAGATGAAAAGATGAGAGTTTTTCCTGTGTTGGAAGCTCGTTTTGAAGTTTTTATAAGTGGGGAAGTGTTTGATTTTCAATTATTAACTAAAAGGGTAGTATAGTCCTTTCAACAATATATTGTTTTGTAATCGTACAAAATATTTAAGGGCATCTTTGTCTTTTACCATATAAAAGGCCAATGTCATAATATTTATGATTTTGGAAGTCAAAGTGGAATTTAGGTCTTTTGACTGGGTCAAACTTAAAAGTATCCCCTTTGACAGAAAGGGTTTGGGAGGTTATTTACGTTGGGTAATGGCCTCAAAAGTCAAAAGTTGGAAGACTTCTATTACAAATAATAAAAGATAGTTATTGTATGAAAGAATTCTAATTAAAGTTCAGAGCAGAATCCTTGCAGAATTTAGTCTCCAATTTACATTCGATTTTGGAGTCTTGCACATGGAGAAATCCTTGTTGAGATAAAGGAGTCTTGCTTGAGTTTAAATTAAACTCTTCTACTTGGTTATTGATCCTATAAATAGTGGATGTATTTCATTATCTTGGGTTTGGCCAGAGAGTTAATTTGAGAGAAAAATATTGTGAGCCTAGTATCTTGAGGCTTTTCGTACAAATGGTAAAAAAGTATGTGTGGCAAAGTTCGAGTTTATTTTATCTTCGTAATACATGGGGATTGAGTTGGTGAATGAAATTCTATATGATTGTAACAATTTTTCATATAGTGAAAAGTTTTGACGATCCGTTTAATTTATGTGTTATATTCTTTATTTTTCTTATTTGCTAATATTCTTCTAAACAACAAAAGATTCTAAGGGTAAATAGAAATAAAGAAAATTGGCGTAAAATTCTCAACAAGTGGTATCAGAGCGTAAGGCGATTCGGAATATTGGAGTAACTAGAAAATATGTCGACGTTTAAATATGACGTAGAGAAATTTGATGGGAAAATCAATTTTGACTTGTGACAAGTACCTTGAAAGGAAAACCAGCCAAGAGTTCTGGCAAGGAAGCTGAATCCAGTATGAGCAATGAAGATTGGCAAGAATTGGCTTTGAAGGCTGCAATCATGATACTTCTTTGTCTAGCTAAAAACATTCTTGTAAATATTTATGGAATATCTGCTACAAAGGAACTATGGGAGATGCTAGAAGAACTATATCAAACGAAGAGCCTCTTAAATTGGTTGTACCTGAAGGAGCAATTTCATTCATTGTGCATGGAGGTATGTATGAAAATCTCAAACCATCTGTGTGTTCTCAACGTGATTGTTTCACAACTGGAGTTTATTAGAATGAAGATAGATTATGAGGATAAGGCACTACGCTTATCTGGTCTCTTCCATCTACCTATGAACATCGCAAGCCAATCTTGATGTATGGGAAGGAAACTGTGAGTTTTCCAGAAGTGACAAGCAACTTGATCTCAGAAGAAAAAAGATTAGGGGGATAGAATACTCCATCTGACAAATGCAGTGCTTGTGATTGAAAATGAGAAGAATGGCAACTCAATAAAGAAGAAAGTAACTTGTTGGAACTGCGGTCAGATTGGCCACCTGAAGAAAAATTGTCCAAAAGGTAGAGCAGGATTGGCTAACTGCTTGGGGTTAAACAATACGTCTTTCCTAACAAAGGAGAATGTGGATGTGGTGTTGTAAAGTAAAATGAGAACATCCTTATAGCATGTTATCAGCTGCCATGATAAAGGATGTGCTCTTACTGGCGCGATTAGCATATCTGTTCATAGCATTGACTGACATTTGATGCAAGGTGTATAGGTATGTGGTGGTGTTGTGATGTCGATGACTGATGAGCTCTATGGAAAAGTCAATTGGAGAGTTGCACCACAACTATCAGTAGGGTTGTTTCAACATGTATCCAACGAAATGCTCGGAGTTCACAAATAATTATGAGTAGTTATACTCATTAGGTGGAGTATTGGACCGTTAAAGTGTGTCAAATGCTTATCTTTTTTTTCTAAGTACTGGAAAAGATGACAAGATTTTGACTCGTTTTCGACAAGGTGGAGATTGTTGGATAATTGCCTCAAAAAGTCAAAAGTTGAAGGATTTCTATTGCAAATAATAAAATGTAATTATTATATGGAAGATTTCTAATTAAAGTTGAGAGCATAATCTTTGTAGAATTTGATATCTAATTATAGCCAATTTTGAAATCTTGCACATGAGGTAATTCTTGTTGAGTTAAAAGAGCCTTGCTTGAGTTTAATTTAAACTCTTCTACTTGATTATTGATCCTATAACTAGTGGATGTATTTCATTATTTTGGGTGTGGCCATGGAGTTAATCTGAGAGAAAAATATTGCGAGCCTAACATCTTGAGACTTTTCGTACAAATGGTAGAAAAGTAAGTATGGCAAAGTTCAAGTTTATTTTTTCTTTTTAATACTTAAAAATTGGATTGGTAAGTGAAATTCTATATAATTGTAACAATTTTTCATATATTGAAAAGTTTTGATGGTTCGTTTAATTTTTACATCATATTGTTTATTTTTCTTATTCGCTAATATTCTTATAAATAACAAAAGATCTTGTAGGTAAATATAAATATAGGGAATTGACATAAAATTCCCAACTATTTAAGGGTTTATCTAAGTGATACCTCCATATTAATTATATATATATATAGTACCCTGCCTATGAGGCAAAATTTGAACCACCGAAAAATAGGAAAATATAGATATAGAGCTCGCAAACACAAATTACTTCTAAATCTCACACGAAGAAACAAGCATTTCACCTTTTTGGTCCTTGCATATTTTCCGATTTAGGACACTATTCTTTAATTTCCACGGTATTTCAAGTTATAAGAGAATGAATGAATTATGATTATCATACGTAATCAACCACAATAATTTCATTTTAGCTCTTATAAAACAACTCATATAAGCATCTAAAATCAGACTTCATTCTCTCCACACATGACGATTTCGACATTTACCAAGGTTTTTTTGCTTCTCAAATATTGCAAAAAGTGGAACAGTTTAATAAATTTGACATTAACTCTTCATAACTCTGTTCGGTGTTGAGTTGTTGGTTACTTCTTGGACTGTTTGCCGGATGATTTCTTCCTTGGAATACATTTTCCTTTCACTGAATTCTCTTTTTTCACTTCCTCCACCGCTGCTTCTCCACCTCCAAGTCCTACCTTTTTGCACCTGATCCATGGAAAGGTTTCCAAGTTTTAAAGTAAATAGCTTTTTTATTGATAAAAGTAGAAAATAAGTAACTTACTTTAAACTTTTCTTGATCAAGATGTAATTGAGACTAGTAGTTATTCACCTTTCTTCATTGAAGGATGATGATTTCTTGAACTGAGGCTGAACCTCTACTCTTTCCTCTTTAATCATGGACTCAACAATGCTCCCACTGAAGTAATCTTTCTCCTCAGATTGCAAATTCCAGAAACGTGGATTCTCCGACATACAGCCAATCATTTCATTGTCCTCCACTGCCACTTTCACTGCCTTGCACACCACTCCTCTATGTAGATTGCCACCGCAAGTACTCTTCCTAGCCACCACATTTTCCGGTGGCTGTTTCGCATTGGGTGATGGAGCAGTTTTTCTGAATGAGGTTGAGCCCCCACATGCAATCAAATTGAATAGCATAGAATTTCTACTCAATAATGGCTCATTCGCAACAGGATCCCCATCTTCAAACCTCTTTGAAGTTTCATTGTTTCCCTCATTACCGTTGTCCAAAAATTTAGCTGATTGAATTTGTTGTGATGAAAATGAATTTCTACCAATCTTTAATTCAGTGGTAACAGATTTTTGTGTTTCTTGTTGTAACTCATAAATTTCATCTGTAGAGACTCCTCTAGAGCATTTAGACTGGGGTGTGTTTGAGTTTGTGTAGCTCGTTTTCTCCTCGTAGTCTTCTTCTTCCTCGTCTTCTGCATTAATATCTTCTTCTTTATTCACATGGTACTGGTTGTACACGACTTCCTCGGGCTCAGGGTATCGTTTTAGAGCTATAGATTTGCGTTTTGGCTGGAAGTTCAGGTCCTGTACCGGTTGAAAATGTTGAACATTTCCAAGTTGAAGGTGTTGCAGTTTCTCTAAGTACATGGATTCAAATTACAATTATGTAATTATACATAGACATTTCTAAGTTAAAATTAAATTAGATCATTAAATATAGGTGCAATGGTGAAAAGAACTAACCAGTGCAACCCTCAATTAGTTCAGAACCTTTGAGTACATACTCAGCTCCTTCTGATGGATAAATGATATCATTCTCTGATAAGTCATTCCATACATAGCCATTCTTGTAGCTCCTAAAACACACAGAAATAATTAATCGAGTGCTGAAACCACGTTAAGTGTTATCATAACATCCACATTACAGTGTGTTGAGAATTAAACCATAATTTTATTCCACCAATCAATTCGTAGAAGAAATAAACACACAAAAGATTTAGCCCGTGTTTGATGGCTAATATAAAGAGAAATTGGGAGGAGAATGATGTTTTTAAAAGTGATTTTTTGGAGTTAATTGTTCCATTGGTCACTGAAGTTTAAAATATCGAGTTTTGTTCACTGAACTTAGGTCAACGTCGTCTCACTGAACTTAGATTCATATTTTAAATTCCTCGTTGAAATTTAAAATGTCGAATTTTAGCCATTAAACTTTGAAATATGCCTTACATTAGTCACTAGCATAACTCTTGAAATTTGAAAAATATCAAGCTCGCAATGAGTAATTACATTTTTCAAAGATATGTGACTAATGTACCAAAACTCGACTTTTTAAACTTAAATCACGCATGGATCTAAGTTCAGTAACCATTTAAACAATTAACTCGATTTTTGTTCGAGGATGTATGATTAAAAAGTATCGAAAAGAAACCATATATAAAATTCCACATTTCATACAAAATGAACTCGACTAAACTAATAGGAGTGGACATGTCGAAGATAATAATTCATACGAAGGCCGACGCAGGGACATACCTTTTGCAAGACCAAGAATAGAGTGAAGGCATGCCGTTACCTCTGAGGCCAGTAAGCCGGTCCATAACATCTGATTTAAGTGTTTCAAATAGTTAATAGATTAAATGTTAGATTTTTCATTGGCTATGTTATGCGACGGGCTGTTAGAATTTACAAAGAGAAGAGGAGAAAAAAGGGAAAAAATTGATACCTTTCAAGCGAAGGTGTTGATGAGCTAAATGGGTTACTTCCATGTAATGTGGGTGCTCCAGGTGCCCATTTCTTGACAGATAGTAAACAACTTGAACTTTCTTGAATTTGGGTCGGATCATTCTGGGATGAACGCACATTTTACCTCTTTCTGGGCTTAATTTTTTACAGTTCCTCCCAGAAACCTCCATGGCTAAGATTCTCTCTCTTGTTTCTCTTTCTACAGCTCAAAGTGAAAACCCATTACCCCTTTCTTATGATATGTTTATATATATGGAGCGCGTGCGTGGGCGTGTGAGGTCAAGGTCACACAGATTTGACTTTAATTTGGATAAATTTGCTTATGAGGTGAAAAAATGTAAAAGGCAGATCTTTTTGCAAGAAAATTTACTCTAAGGCACTGTTCATTACATAGCCATAGGCAACAGCTCCGCAGAATCTTAGGACACGAAAAGATCTGCTCACTAATTAATGCGATTTACTTTTTGCATGTTTATGTCAACACTTTTCTATGCATATTTGTCCCCTTTGACAATGAAGGTCATGTCATATTCAAAACAATAATAAATTTACAACCAAGAGCTTTAATCCTGCAAAACGAACCCGCCAAGAATTTGATCGTTCCATAAATTGTCATCAAAATTTGTCTCTATTCATTCTAGAATAAGTCTACTCCTACAAAATTGGTGTACAAAAGTGAAGTGCCAAAATATGTTGGCAAAATTTGGATCCTTGATTTCAAATGATTTAAAAATCCGTTTTTAAAATGATTGGTGTAGATTTGATTTTGTAACCTAACTTTGTCAACCCCTTTGTCTTGTAGCATAGCTCATTCATTCTATCAATTTATTTTATTTTTTTTAAAACTCATTTTTGGCTATAAATTTTTTACAAAATATATTTTCTAAAAAAATGGGGAATGAACACAGAGTTACGAGAAACAGAAACCTAAGAAAAAAAAAATTACGAGAAACATGTTTATTATTAATATTAACGTTCAAAGACTCGATTCCATTTGTTGTTAAAATATACCTAAAACGAGTTTTTTAGATGAGTCAAATGACTAAGTTGTAGTATAACAAGGACAAAATCTAATTTTGCACTATTTTGTCGTATTTTGGTGAAACTTCGTTCAATCATGTTACATGTACACGTTCTTTCACATTATTTTTTACATTGTGTCACGACGATACATGATTTGACAGTTTAAAAATAGCACTTTCCTATCCAACACTTTCTGAATTTCTACAGAATGTACACTAAGACATAACACATACACTAAGTATAATTCAATTTCATTTAACCTAGGGACGGGGGACCTAGCTGTGCGGACTGGTAGCAATTGTAATGGGTGAAATTTTGGTTGGTCACGAAACTAATGATTCCCAATTATTCATATCTGTAAAAGTTTGCATATATATAATGATTCAGAAATTGTATTATTGCAAATCATTCAGGTTTAAATTAGCTCAACAGCCAATACATATATTTGATATTGAGACGAATTGACTCAATTATTATCTATTAATCTATAAATGAATATGGTTGAAACTATGGTAAATTTAGGAGTGTCAAAGGAGTTGAGTTGCTTGTAGGTTTGGTGCATCCCAACTTGACTCGTGAATGGTTCGAACTAATATTGAAATGAGTTATGTATTGTGTCGAGCCAAAATCAATTTTTATTTACAAACTCACAGTCAGATCATTTATTAATTTCTTCAAAATGACTAGGCTCGTGGATAGCTTAACTTGGGTCCATGAATCCCACAAGCCAAAGGATCAAGTCGAGCTTAATTTATGAACACAAGTCGAACATTGGTGTCTAAGAACTGAGTCAAGCTCGACTTGATCCATTACCACTCCTAGGTAATTTAATATTCCATACAATTTATTTGAAAAATTGAATTAGTATTCGAAACAATTTAATATTCGATACAATTTAATACGAAATAATAGTTTTGACAATTTGACCTAGCCTTTTATTATTATCCCTTTGCTAATGATACTCTTTGGATGCCTTGTAATTATTTACCTTTGCTTTAAGCTTTAATTTACCTTTTCTTAATTATTCATTATGACTTCTAGTAATGGTGCTTCTTTTCCCCATTGATAGTGATGGATTACCTAGTGAGATTCTGGCATATCCGAAAAACAAAATGCACTTCTCTGTCAAAATATTTCAAAGAAACGAGCTTCAATATTGTAGGTCACTTAGCCCCTATTTTAACTCATCTTTTTGAAAATTCACTGTCAATTATATATATATATATATATATTATTTTTTAATTACACATTTTTCAAAAGGGGCTTATGGCCCGTTTGATAGGAATTTTGAGAATTGATTTTTTGACCGTTAGAATAAAAGTGGGGTCCACATGTGAGAGAAGAAGTCAAAAATTACGGCTTGAATAGTAAAATAACGGTCAAAAAATCAATTTTTTGGGGCAAAAAATCCCTACCAAACGGGGCCTCATTCAAATAGTTATCAGTAGGAGGAATAGAAAATATCTTATTTCCCTTTTTTTCCTTTCCTTTTCTCCAAAGTAGCAAGCTATATTGAGATATTAATTTGATGAGGATAACTTTACTTGTGATAAAGGTGAGGGCACAAATGTCACATAATTGAACAATGTTCGAATTCGTTGTTGGAGAAACTTTTGGTAGAAAGTATTGGGGTTCGGTTGCTTGTGCTCTTTCAGAAGAGTACATGATTAACTACCACAAAGACATCCAATCCCGTGGCAAAGATAGCGAGTTTGACATGAAATCACCAACACTTGTTGGTAAGCTTTCACCCAAAGTTATTAAGTGAAAAGCATACATCTACACGGTTTCCAAATATCTTGATCATTTCACATTGCATCTTTCATTTCAATTTATTTTAGGAGCATTTTTAAAAATATCCAATTTTAAGGGAATGAGATGAAAAGTGTCCACTCAATTGAATTTAGTGTCAACTTGTCTATTATGCCCTTAGTGACAAGCTACATTTTAAAATGGTATTCTCTACATTTTAAATGTCGTTCTCAACATTTGATTTTTTTTATTAATTTGTCACGAATTTTGAGAAGTGGCTTCTATGAAAAACTACATTAAAATAATGTTTCTCAACATTTCATATGTCATTCTCGACATTTGAACACCGTTTCATTTGTCTAGAATAACATTTTATTTTGAACATGACATTTCTCTACATTTAAAAATATCGTTCTAGACATTTCTGAATCAATGAAAAATATAGTATTTATTGTGATTTGACATGTATACTTTTTGAAATAAATATGGCAGGTTATATGTCAAAATTTTATTGGCTAATAACAATATTGCAAAAAGGTCCATTTTTTTATCTTAGTATGGAATTATAAATTGTTAATAAGGGTATTTTGGTCTAAATTTTTCCAAATTAGACATTTTTGCAATGATGGATATTTTTGCAAATGACTAAGTAAAAATGGACATTTTATGAAATTTCCTCTTTATTTTATAAATGTGAGAATTAGATACCCTAGTTTTATAATCAAGAGCAAAAATTGTAGAAAGAAAATAAAAAAACAAGAACATACAAAATTTATAGAAGTTCTTGTCTCAATAAAAGACTCCGTCATCTTTCATCGTCACAATAATTCACTTGATGAAAAGAAATTTACAAGAGAAAACTCGATCTCTTTTCAACTTTAACTTCTCTCTCTTTTGATGATTATACAGAATTCTAATGACGACTCCATATTTATAAGCCAAATTAAGGTAAAATCAAAATTACGCATATTATCTGTGTAGAACAATAATAATTAGAATACACATTTTAACAATAAAGCTATAAAAAAAAATATGCATATTAAGCTTGTATTTTCATTTCCTATGACGAGTATGACAGCAAAGAAAAGTCGAACGTGCCTTTTTTTTCCCTCGTCATAAAACATAATTATGATGTATATATCTGGAATATAAAATATATAATACTTTATCAAGTGTATCTGCTCAAAGCTAATTTAAGATTGGCAAAGTGATCACATTGTTCCTCAGTAGACTGGATTTTGTAACTAAATTCAGGGCTTGAGTTTTGAAACTGCTACACAATCACTACCTTCTCTCTTAAGAGAATCTCGATATCCTCACTAAACACAAAAAAATTGGAAATTGAAAGCCGCTTCACATCACAAGTGAGGAATGGTTTTTAGCCAACGGTGACCGGTTTTCAAAAAGCACCTTTGGGCGATTTTGCTGTGGAATAGAAAGAATTGCCTAAAAAACCGAAGCCTTTACTGAAAGTGGAAGATCGGCGGCATTGGGATTCTCAGCTGGATCCGGGCCTCTTGTTATTGTTCGGCCTGAAACAACTATATTTAGTAGAGAGAGAGGGCTTTTTCGAAAGGCTATCAACTGAAACGGCCAATGCAAGACACTTTTCGCTTGACGCGGATCTGGTTTTGCATCTTTTGATAAATCTGTAGAAGTTGGACTGCAAAAATATTAGAATAGAATCCTTCCCAGTTTTGAATATGAATCAGTCAATATACATGTGTGTGTGTAAAAACGTCCAACTATTTTTCCAATTCTCCACATTTGGTTGTCCTTCGCTCTCTCTAAGTTCTGATTCTTAAGGCTCGTGAATATAGTCCAATGCAACAAATTATAGAAAAATTCCTTGTTCCCGTTTCTCTCTAAATTTAGCCCCTAATTGATAATCATTATTTTCAAAATTCTTTATTCTACATACACATTTTTAACCACACATTCACGTAATAAAATATTTTGTATATAAACTCAAAAATTTTGTTTATTCTTTATTTACACATTCTATAAAATTCACTTTTCAAAATTTTATTTTTGCGCATAATGGCTATCGAACAGGGCTTAATTATGTTTTCCTCTGTTTTTTTTTTTTTTTAATTTCCTTTTCTAATTTTTTCCCCTGATAAGTCTAAACTCCAAAAAGGACTCGACGTTTTCATGATATGTAAAATTATATAGAAATAACAATATTAGGTGTTGACATCCGAACTCTGACTCATAATAGTCGTTTGCAGGCCCCATCTCAGACATATTTAAGTTCGGTCAAAAAATTCAAATCTGCATAATACCGCCATAATTTCAGGAAACATCATGATTATCTCCTATTACATCACCCTATTAATCACATACACTTGTAGAGGGTGACGTCCCCACCGGCCAAAACCACCAATTCGAGGCCTCAAATCTTCAAATCACTTGTAGGTCATCATTACTTGAGAAAATATTGATACATGACCACCGACGTCGTCGACCAATCATAGGAGAATTCGACGACCCGACTTCCGAGCTCGGTCCTGTAACTTATTTGATTGATTTGATGTAATTTCGGCTGGACTCATGTATAAATAGTAGAGAAATAG